TCTCTATAGACGGACGAGCTTAAGGTCGTCTCTATAGACGGACGAGCTTAAGGTCGTCTCTATAGACGGACGAGCTTAAGGTCGTCTCTTTAGACGGACGAGCTTAAGGTCGTCTCTATAGACGGACGAGCTTAAGGTCGTCTCTTTAGACGGACGAGCTTAAGGTCGTCTCTATAGACGGAAGAGCTTAAGGTCGTCTCTATAGACGGACGAGTTAAAAGTCGTCTCCCTCAGACGAGTTAAGGGTCGTCTCTATAGACGGACGAGCTTAAGGTGTCTCTATAGACGGACAAGCTTAAGGTCGTCTCTAGAGACGGACAAGCTTAAGGCCGTCTCTAAATAGATCGTCTCTATAGACGAGCCAGAGATCGTCTTTATATGCGAGCTAAAGATCGTCTGTATAGCCGTAGGAATGATCGTCTGTATAGACGTTGTGAAGATCGTCTGTGTGGACGAGCCGAAAATATAGACAAAGGCGTTGAAGGCCGTTTATAGACCAGAAGCCCCGATGAGTCTCTAAAAGCGAAGTGAAGGCCCAGCGAGTCTCTAAAGGCGGGCTGGAGGCCCAGTAAGACCCTATAGACAAACTTAAACCCCGATGAGTCCCTATAGCCTGAGCTGAAGGCCCAGCTTTGTAGACAAGGGCAGTGAGTCCCTATAGACGAGTCGGGGCCAGTGAGTCGCTATAGACGAGCTGAAGGTACAGAGCTTTTCAAGTAGAATTGAGGGACCACAGAGTCTTTATTAACGGCCTTAAAATCAAGAAGATTTTGAAAAGGACGTATTTTAAGGAGCTGCAAAAGGAATTTATTAAATATTTACGATCTATTAAAAGTGTAACAAAATTACTGGCCATGGCTCTCTTTCTCGCGCTCTCATTTGTCAACAATAATTTGACTACAACAACAACAACAACACTTACAAAATGGTAGTAATAGCAGCGTGGCAGTTTATTTTTCGCAGATACTCAGATCAGTTAAAACACTTGCTGCATGTGTAGTTAAAATACATTATTTGAATGCGCACACACACAAACTGAAATTAGTAGCACATGCTCACATGATCATACATACACACACATCTATACATAGATATGTATGTGCATAAACAATTGTATTTTGAAAAAAAAGGTGTTGCATTTTTATAATGGCTGAATTGTGTGATAACCACCAGCGATAGAACCTTTAACTCTCCAAAAATACACACTCACACACGTACACCTGGCAGTGGTGTGTGTTTTCTCGCTCTCTCTCACTCTCATGTTCGGTTTTTGCCGTTTTGATTGAGGGCCACAGGAACACCTCCTTCACTCTCACTCATACATGTGTGTGACAACACAAATGTTAACCATGTTGTTGTTATTATTTTTATTGTTGCTGCTTTGGTTGTGAGGTTGCTGTAGTTGAGCCACAGGTTGGTCTTGTCATTCGTCGATCATAAGAGCCAACGTTAACAACGTAACTCTGAGGTAGTTAGAGAAAAAAACCGGGCGTTTTGAAAAAAAGTAATTATTTGACAAAAAAGTAATTTCAAAATCAACAAATTAAAACCGATATTTACTCGCCGTGTTCGCCTGCATAGACTTTTGCCAAGAGTGCAATTAAACCAAAAAAAAACGCGTTTTAATCAATTTCAGTATTTTACGCAAAGAACTCGAAATCGTTGTCGTCGCTGTTGCTGATCTTCATGCAAAGAAAAAAACACTTTTTAGTATCGACGATATTTAATACTCGCCTGAGACTGTGTTCTTCTTGCTGATTCAACTTTTTTTTCGTTTAAAGAACTTTGACATACAATATACGTTGAAATATTTTTCGAAAAAATATTTCCCGCCGCTTCGTTGGGACGTGATGAAAAAATAAACTTGTAATTTGACAATAAAAAAAATTAATGATTAACAAAAAATTTAATATTTTATGTAATCGGGGGAAAAAAAGTGCCAAAGTAATAAAGGTATTCGAACAAAATGCTTGTGAAATATAAGTGGCATTTGGAATTCTTGATTTTTGAATTTGTTACCTGACAAAGGCTGTTTATTAAATTTTGAAATGGATTTAATAAAATCGAGGTAAGTTAATTTGTTTTGAAACGGGTTTTTTTATAGAGTAGAGTGGGTTAGAATTGTGCAATAAAAAAAAACTTGAGCCTGCTTCAATGAATTTTAATTCTTTAATTCTAATTAGGCATGGGGATGGAATTCGTCCTGATTGAGTCCTCCTTCATTTCAATGTCTTTTCTAGAATATCTAGCACTTTTAAGTCTTTCAATTTTTTCCCAATAAAATTTTAGAATAAGTTTAGATTTGTTCGAATTGGTCACCTTTGGCACGAATTATGGCCTTGCTCTGCGGTATTTCAACCCATTCCCGGCGAAGCGCTTGCTTGAGGTGATCGACACAAATACTCCAGACACAATAGTCCCACGGATTGGTATCAGGAGATTTTGGTGGCCATTCTGCACTGGAAATGAAGCGAGTAACCTCATTTTGTAATCCTTCTTGGATGGCGCGTGCCGAGTGCGATGGTGAGGAGTCCTGTTGGAATGTCCAAGGTCTGCGGCCAAAATGTTTGCGTGCCCAAGGCTTTAATACACCCTCCAGAATATTTTCGCGATAATATTCGGCATTTATTCTGATGCCACGGTCGATTAATACGAGCTGCTGTTATGGCGGCCCACATCATCACCATGACACGCGCTTGAGTTCTGGTGGCCAACCCAAGGTGCACATTTTCATCTGACCTCTTTGGCAAGTAAAGACGATCATCATTCATTTTGTTTGTTTACAAATTGCTGGGCAACGAATGTTTTCTCATCGGAGAAAACCAAATTCGACAGCTCACCACTTTCGGCCAAGCGAAACAACTCTTCAGCTCTTTTGAGTCTATTTTCTTTCTGTTGCGTTGTTAGTTCTTTAAAGCCTAGGTCTCTTTGGACCAAATCATTTTCAGGAAGTCGGTCTAGCGATGTCTGTCCGTCCGTCTATCTTTCTGGCTGGTGCGCTCGATAACTCTCGAAGCATGTATCTGCTTTGATTAAAACTTGGTACATCGTAATATTATTGTCAAGCTCAGATTGAGTTTGGAGATGAGCAATATCGGCCAACTCCTTTTGGTACCTCCACCACGAAATTTCAACATTTTTAAAGAAAATAATTTACTGCATAGAAAGAGAAAAGATAATCCGATTTTGCTCCAACTTTGCAAATCCTAATATTTGCTAGGTCAGGTGCGAAAATGAACAATATCGATCCACTCCATTAAGGATCTCCCCCCAAATGGTCAAACATTTGAATAAATATAACTTTTATAAAATATAATTTAAGCGTCCGATTGTCTTCATATTAAACACATTACAATATTTTTATTAACCCATGGTCTGGTGTGAAGATGGAAAATATCGTATCCAAGATTTGTTATAAAGATGGTAGAGATCGGATAATTTTTTTCTGGTACCTTCCTTTTTTGAATAATCAAAGTGATCATAAAATTTTAAATAATCACCTGGTTCTCTTCAAATTACACACATCACAATATTTTTAGTAATCCAAGATGTGGTGTAAAAGTAGAATATCCTCCTTCTGGTACATCCCCCACAAATTTTGAATATTCATGGAGCTCATAAAACACGAAATTTACATTCGATTCCATTCAGACTTGACAAAACTTAAAATGTCTATGAACACAAGATATTTTTAAGGATGATAGAGATCTGATCATTCGTTCTGGTACCTCCCCCACAAAGGGCCAAAGTTACGAATAACGAAAACGATCATAAAATCCGAAATAAGCATCTGGTTTAATCCAAGATCTTCAGGTCCCTCTCTCACGAAGGGATCAAAATATTGAATATTCATGAAGCTCATAAAACGCGAAATTAACACCCGATTCTATTCAAAGTTGGTACATCTCAATATTACCATCAACACAAGATCTGTTATGAAGATGGTACAGATCGAACCATTTTTTCTGGTAGCTTCCCCACGTAGGGTTCAAGATGGGCTGGGTCTGTTCAGGATTGTAAAACAAATCAATCAGTGCAATGATTTGCACTGACTAGGATAAATATTGAAATTTTGCATAGGTGGGATACGATAAATGAGTGTCATCTTGAGGTTGATAATTATTTAAGAGATATACATTGAAGTGCACACCGACGTTCAGCATTTAAAAATAAATGTGGAGTTTACTATGTGGTAACTCACTCGAATTCGTTAATTTCGAATGTTACAAAAATTGGCTGTAATTGCCACAAGATTCTCATTTATTTTGCCTTACCCATCAACAAGTTGTCTATTTTACATCCCGCCCCACAGAGGCCACAGAAATGGAATGACATGCAATTTTATTGAACCTCACAATTTATAATTATGGTTAAATGGAAATTTTAATTTATTACTTGATAGACTAATAGACAGACATATTAGCCAAATGACAGGTAGCAGGTTATAGTTTTCTTATTAAACTATTGCAACATCAATGGGGAATTTTCTGATTACGAACATTTGTTTTTGTATTCCAAACAAAGTGTATTGAAACTATTTTCAGTAATAATTCTATTCATTGTTAAGTGGAGCCATTGCATTTTATTAATTTAATATAACTATTAACATAAATTAATGGATTAATAGTCAATAGACAAAGACAAATACCAAGGAAATTATTGCAAGTTTCTATGGTGGATCAATGAAGACCAGTTATTTTTTTTCTAAAATTTTTAAATTTTCCTAAAATTGTGTATGTTTGAAACAATTCCATCCCTCTGCTCTCCACTGCAAAGTTTCTAAAAGAAAAATTCCCCACACCCATCCCAACATACCAAAATGGCTTGAGAATAATATTACAATAAGCTTATGAACATAAGCCTTAAGCTTGAGAAAATCTTGAGAAAACATTGAAAAATGTTTGTATAACAAGTATAGAATAATCGAAACGGAACCCTTATTTATAAGCTTATACTTGAAATTGTAGAATAAGCTTACAAAAATAATATTATAATAAGCGTATTTTTGTAATAGTATAAAATATTATTTTTTTAGTTTTTAATCATTTTTAACATTTTTTTCTTGATGGACATCCCAGTAGTCACTGCCTCATGTGGCCTTGATACCCTGACGCTTTCTTCTCCCTTATTTGAACTTCTGCATCTCTTCCACTAAGACTACACATCTATTGAATTCCTGCTACTTTTTTGATGCTTCCGATCTGAAATGGGATTGGAATAATTTATGTGAAAGATTCCCGGATTTATTATTCATCCATACCTTAAGGGTTCGGTCCAGAAATGGGTCCTAAATTCGCGTGATTTTGTTTTTTGCCAAAGAAAATAATTTCTTTCTGACAATTTTCACAAAAAATCAAAACTAATTTGTCAACAAAGGACAGATTTGAGAAAAGTTTATGGAACATAAGTGTTTCTCAAGCATTGTTGAAAAATTATATTAAAATTATATTTTTATAATATTGTTCTCAAGCTATATTGTATTTTTGGTATGTTGGGATATATTTAAACAAGTGTGACTATATATATGCATGTGTGTGTGTGTATATGAACATTTGTTGTTAATTGTTTACTAGCCCGGTTGTTTTTTTTATCGGCCTGTTATCTATCCAAACGATAGAAATAGATATTTGTATAACCGATTTTTGTTCAGCTTTTTTCGTAGGGGGGTCGGTCTCTAGTTGCTGGGCTGTTGATTTCCGTCGCTACATTTGTGATCGATTGTTGTTTGTTTTTTTTTTTTTGTTGTTGTTGCCGCTGTTGTTGTTGGCCTGATTCATACTGATATTGTTAGAGTTTTTTTTCCCTCTCAGATATTCTGACGTTTTTTCATTTTTGACACTTAGTCGTCGTCTTATATACTCGTATGTGTATGTATGTAAAATTGGCTCCATGAGTGAGTAATGAAACAATAAGTTACTTATTATTATTTGTTGTTGCTGTTTAAATATTAGTTAATTAGACAGGTGTTTTCTATTCATATTTTGTTTAATTTTTTCTTAATTTAAGTGCCGAGGGGTGGGTCTCTGGGTAATACCGATACATCATATAATATTATTGCCTAGTTAAGCAAGCCATACATGCTGTGATCTATGATGTCAAATACTGAAACTCACATGGCAATTTGTTTAATAAAAAAAATCAGAAAAAAGTGTTGATAATAGTTATGAAAACGAAATGAAACTAGCAAATATCTTAAAGAAATCTTTTGTAATTGGGCTCTACAGGATGAGATGAAAAAACTACAACCAACTTCAGACTGCTGTCATTTCTAAGCGACTCGCCCGACAGCTGTTAAAATTATTCCAGTGACAGCTCATTATATTGTTTACGAGCGTACAAAAGCATTTTGCTGAGAATTTTCAAAAAAAAAAAAAAAAAACTCAGGCGTGTGATAGTGTAATTTCTTTATATTTGGCTGGAAAACCACAAGTGGCTACCGTTGGAGCCCTCCAACATTTAAATATTCATAAATGTTTTGTGTCTCGTGCCATCGCTCGTTACCGTCAAGTCAAGGAAGTGGACGAAGGAAAACAGCAACATCAGCAGAGATGGTTCGAAAAATAAAGAAGCGACTATATCGAAACCCACGTCGCAGTGGCCAAAAAATGGCTCGTGAGCTTAACATATCGCAATATTCCATTTGGCAAATATTGAAAAATGAGCTCGGGGTAAAGCCATAAAGCCATTGAAATTCCAAAAAGAGCAGGAACTTACACCGCAACAGAAAGAAAATAGACTTAAAAGAGCTAAGGAGTTACTTCGCTTGGTCGAAAGTGGTGAACTACCGAATTTGGGTTTCTCCGCTCCGATGAGAAAACATTCGTTGTCCAGCAGTTTGTAAACAAACAAAATGATCGTGTTTACTTGCCAAAGAGGTCAGCTGAAAATGTGCACCATCGGTTGGCCACCACAACTCAAGCGCCGCTCGTATTAATCAACCGTGGCATCAGAATAAATGCCGAATATTATCGCGAAAATATTCTGGAGGGTGTATTAAGCCTTGGCCACGCAAACATTTTGGCCGCAACAGGGCTCAGCACCATGGCAGTCAGCACTCGCCACCCAAGAATAGTTACAAAATGAAGTTCCAATGACCATCAAAACCTCCGGATACCAATCCGTTGGACTATTGTGTCTGGAGTATTTTGGAAAGCAAGGTTGGCACTAAAAAATACCAAAGTGTCGATCACCTCAAGCAAGCGCTCCGCCGGGAATGGGCCAAAATATCGCAGAGCAACATTCGGGCACCGAGTGACGGTTTCATTGTCCGTTTGAGGGCTATAATTCGTGCCAAGGGTGACCAATTCGAACAAATCTAAACGTATTCTAAAATTTGATGATATTTCCGACATTTCTTGCTTTAATTCAATAAAATTAAAAAAATTAAAAGTATGGAGTTTGACTTTGCTGCAGTTTTTCATCCATATGGCTGAGGGTACAATTATTAAATAAGTAGAAATTCGACGAAGGAAAATTATTTTAAAATTCTCTTCAGAAATTCTCTTTCATTAATTTGCCCATCTATGAATTATAGTCTCTTTTTACTGTTATTTTGCATTTTTTTTTAAAGAATATTAACTCAGAATAGTTCCCAAAATGGCAAATATTTATTTTTTTACCTCCACTAATTATCTAATCAAAATTACATTTTATTTTATCTCAAACAATTAAATTGTCTGAAAAGCAATTACAACTCTTTGTCAATCTCAATGGCTCAGAGAGCCAGAGAAATAACAGATTACCCCCAAAGAGATAATTTACACCTAAGAGATCACTTTGGGGGTAGAATAAAATATGCACATGAGACCTTTGCTCTGTAATAAAAAAATAGCTGTGAACTGAACAAGACTGAGAGGTCGTCTCTTGGAGAGTGCAACCTCAGAAGGGGGCAAAAGTCAAAAGTCAACAACAGGTGGCTGGCAGACAGACAGACAGACAAACTATCAAGAGATAGTAACTAAAATAATAACAATAACAACACATATCATAATTAATGTCATCAACATAACAATGACAGCAGCAAGAACAACAATCACTGTAATCATAACAACAACAACAAAAACAACAGCAAAACTTACAAATTACAATTGTTAATTTCTCGGTTGTTTCTTTTCTCAAGTGGCTTGAGTCAAGATGAGAGAGACTAAAATTAACAAATTCACATTCATATGTTTTTGTTGTTGTTTTTTAATTTATATACAAGAAAAATTCATATACCAATTTGTTGTAATTGTTGTTTTTGTCACTGTTTTCATGCAAAGACAGAAAAAAAATATCATTCAGGTCAGTGTTAAAAGTTTAGAAAATAAAATTGTTTTGTTATTGCTTCTGTTGTTGTTATCGTTGTTGGTACAGGTGAGAAATAGCCAAATGAACCTTTGGCTGAATGAATAGCTCGGAATGTGTGTGTGTGTTCGGCATGCGTGTGTTTGTAACAGTTTAATTGCATTATAAATTAAATATTTGAATTGAAATTTAAACGTGTGTCAACAGAGTTATTTTTCGTTTCTCTTTTTTTTCAAACAATTAATTTAACGAAAGTAAGAATTTTAGTTATCACTGTGTGAGTGTGTGTGTGTGAAATCGCATAGTTTAAGTGGCCAACACCAGTAGCCGTTGAACAAACGATTTGAGAAAAATGCAATTATAACAATGATATGACAATATTACATACTAATAAAGTTGAAAAAATAATAGTTGAGAAAAAATTCATTCAATTTTTTAGAGACAAAGAGGGTTGCTATTTATATTTTGCAGGCCAGGAAAAGGAACGTTGGCAAGACTTTTTTCAATTACATTCTGACCTACAGACCTAGATTTTTAAGAAGTTTTTTTTTTATCAAGTACTTTAGGAGATTTAAACTGGGATTTTTCAAAGAATATTTTTAATCTGATTTATAAATGTGGACTTTTCAAAGATTTCTTTCAAATACACTAGGAGGTGTTAAATTGGATTTTTTAAGGATTTTTTTTCGTGAATTCTTGAAGATTGCTTTTTCAAATGTCCTCGGAGATATAAACGTAGATTTTTTAAAGATTTGTTGCAAATATTCTCGGAAATATAAACTTGGATTTTTTAAGGAGCTTCTCCAATATACCCTCGGAGCTATAAACGTGGATTTTTTCAAGAACTTCTCCAATATACCCTCGGAGCTATAAACGTGGACTTTTTAAAAAGCTTATTCAATATAACCTCGGAGCTATAAACGTGGATCTTTTAAAGAGCTTCTCCAATTTACAATCGGAGCTTTAAACGTGGATTTTTTAAAGAACTTCTACAATATATCCTCGGTGTTATAAACGTAGATATTTAAAGAGCTTCTTCAATATACCCTCGGAGCTATAAACGCGGATTTTTTAAAGAGCTTCTCCAATTTACCATCGGAGCTTTAAACGTGGGTTCTTAAAGAGCTTTTCCAATATACCCTCGGAGCTATAAACGTGGGTTTTTAAAGAGCTTCTCCAATATACCCTCGGAGTTATAAACGTGGGTTTTTTAAAGATTTTTTTCAAACACCCTGAGAACCGTTAGCGTGATTTTTTTGAATAATTATTTAAAAAAACCCTCGGAGCCATAGTCGTAAAATTTTAAATAATTATTTAAAAAAACTCTCGGAGCCATAGTCGTAAAATTTTAAATATTGTTATTTCAAATCTCCCCGAAGCTATAAACGTGGATTTTTTTAAAGTTTTTTTTATTTCAAATACTCAGATGGTGTATAAGGGGATTTTTCAAAGAATTTTTTCAAATCTCGTCGAATCTATAAACATGGATTTTTTAAATATTTTTTCTTCAAATACTCAGAAGGTGTAAAAGCGGATTTTTTTGAAGATTTTTTTCAAATCCCCCCAATCTATAAACGTGGATTTTTTTTTTTAATTTTATTGAATGAAAGCAAAGAATGTCGGAAATAGCATCAAATTTTACAATAAGTTTATATTTGTTCGAATTGGTCACCTTTGGCACGACTTATGGCCTTCAAACGGCCAATGAAACCGTCACAAGCTGCCCGAATGTTGCTCTGCGGTATTTTGGTCCTTTCCCGGCGAAACGCTAGCTGAGGTGATCGACAATTTGGTGTTTTTAGTGCCAACCTTGCTTTCCAAAATACTCCAGACACAATAGTCCAACGGGTTGGTATCCGCAGATATTGGTGGCCATTGTGCGCTGGAAATGAAGCGAGGAACCTCCAGAATATTTTTGCGATGATATTCGGCATTTATTCTGTTCTGATGCCACGGTCGATTAATACGAGCGGAGAGCAACCATCGGCTGTTATGGCGTTATGTAAACAATATATAATGTCACTGGAATAATTTTAACAGTTGCGGACGTGTGGCCTAGAAATGACACCAGTCTGAAGTTGGTTGCAGTTTTTTCATCTCACCCTGTATGTGGAATATAAAAGAATTTCAACTACCATCGGAGATACAAAGGTAGATTTTTTTCCAGATACTTTCGATTCTGTAAACGTGGATTTTTTTGGAGATTTTTTTTCATTATCCTCGAATCTTGAAACGGAATTTTTCAGATACCGATCCTGCAAACGTGGATTTTTTCGAGATTTTTTTTAAATACCCTCTAACTTATAAACGTGGATTTTTGAAAGTGTTTTCTTCAAATACCCTCGTTATTTTATTTGCCTTTTATTAATCTGGATTTTTTAAAGAATTTGTTTCAAATGTTTCAAAATCGGTACTTTTGTGCATCTT